TAGCAATGAGGTCTTGTTGTAGGGCACTTTCAGCTCTTAGCCGACTGGGCGTTGCATGATCGCTCGCCTATGCTGATAACGAACGGCCTTGCAACGGAGGTGCATCGCGCTTGCCTCGTAGTGGCGGGCAGGACCGAATGGCTCAGCGGAAATTTTCATGCTGAGCCCTGAGTGGCTGAGATCTGTGACTTTTTGCTTGGACAGACTGAACGAGGTCTGGGCGTGGAGATGGTGGGCATGTTGGAGGCAGGTTGGGGTTGGTGGTTTCGATGAGGTAAACGGGAGAGTGAAGATAAGCGATGGTATGGTAGCCAATGAGCACGCGCTGGCGGTGGAGTCCGAAGTCGGCTTGCAGGAAACGACCCCCTGTGGCCCGGCTTTCTCCACGGGTAATGATCGACCTGCATCTTCGCAATGTTGTCGTTACTCGATACCTTCGACACATACGTGCTTATTTCTCTCGAGAGTGTTCTGCAACTGCATTCTGGTTGTCCGCGCACGTTCGCGCGATCAAAGCTTTGAGTCCGGCTTCCACGGGCCCCCTTTCCGCCATCCTCTGCCGCCATGTTCTACTGCTCAACACCAACAATTTCGTGAGGACAGTATGGATCTACTCTAGCTCTCACTAGAAGATTAGATGGTACCTGTGAGCGAGCAGAAGTGGAAAGCCCATCTTTAGGTGTATAGTATAGGAGTGGTTAGAATTGCTGATCCAAAGCAGCGGAACGATATGATACGGAGGATATTCTATCGGAACATTGCACCCCGCGACTGCGACGAACGTTTTGAGAAACCTACGAGACGGTTCGTTGTTCAATGTACAAGGAGTTTATGTTGGCGTCGCGCTATAGAGAAGCAAGTCGTTATTGGTGCTTCACTGGGCTTACTCACGGTTGCACGAGGCTGTCGCACTTGGAAAGGCCTTTTGCCCAGGAAACGAGCGTTGAAAATATAGGTAAGGCTTCTCTTCGCATTAGTGCTGGTAGCTGTCGACATATCTTTGCAACAGGATTACCAAGGAAGACTTTTCAGCGCACATTAGGAGTCTTCGAATACAGAGCAAGTAATATCTCGTACTTGTTGTGCGTGGTGAGGAGCGAGTGACCAGACTCACGGCTCGGTTAGCGTGTCCATTCGGCTCCGTACGACGACCACGAGGAACTACCCCGGCCTCTTTCCTAATCAGGTAGACAGTCAGCGGGAGCTTCGGATGTCAAATGCATATATTCTGAAGACTTAAGCACGTTTTCTTGGTTTACACACTTCCACCAGCATCATGCTTTCCATCTTGATACTCCTCGTGGTTGCACTCGGTGCCATCGCGCACACCACCACAGACGGATGTCCGCGCAAGGTGAGTGCGGAAGGCGTGCAGGTTCGCATACCTCCAACGTTCAATACCACCAACCATGCCCATCACGGCAGATCATGGCGACCACCACCTGACGGTTTTTACTTCAAACCATGGTCAATGATTCTTGCGTCAAACCCTCAGTATGCTGCGATGCGGAACGTGCAATACGACCCGACACCGATCGATCCCTCTGAGCCCACTGGACTTGTGAACGATCTCTTCTCATTCCAATTTCCAGGCAACGACACAATTATTACAACATATGGCGTCGATACACCGCATCCCTACTTGCCAGCAGTGCTGGACTTTGCAGGGACTGGGATCTTGGTCGGAGCTACGTGCCAATACAGCATCTTGGTTTGGGGCTGCGACGCTAATAGAGTCCCATACTACGCGAGCTATTCGACAGCAGTGGAATTCACCCAAACGCCCCCGGGTATCGACCTGATGAGTACGAGTGATCAAGGACCTGATCAGGAAACGATCGATGCTGTTTTGCGGGCGTTGAAGAAGCTAGGAAACGAGGAGATCACCAAGTATGTTGCAGCGTTGGAGAAGATGGTGCAGGATGGTGGCAGAAGAGGCATGCCTAGGGTAAGTATTCGGGTGCTCCTTGCTGGCACCTACTAACGAAGAACTTTAGGCTACATGCGACGACTATTGCAAGACGAATCAGGGCTTGGTCGGGATCGGAGGTTGAGGTTCATAAAGTCGAGCTGGCGAGGTCGTACTCGAATGCCCTTGCTGCAACGGATGCCTGCTGATGCTCTGTGTCTGGGCTTCCAACAGGCGCATCCATATAGTCGATGATCAACGAGAAGACATATGTAGTTCTGTGTAATGACGGCGTAAAGTGTGTGAATATTCGATCCTGCAGTTCGTTGCGGTGTCGCGTGTCTGCCGCTCAGTCCCAGTCGCGTGTATGGAAGTCGCGACCGACGCAGGGCATCAGCGTTCAGCAGTCGCTCCTCCGCTGTGGGTCGCGCCAAGGCCGCCCGGCAGTAGCGCCAAAAAAGTTCAGAACTGGTAGATGCAGGCAGCGCAAACCTCGACGAACAACGACGCGACCACATTTCGTAGATTCCAATCAAATTCCGGCACGATGGCGAAGCGCAAACTCAACGAACACGACGTGCCAGAGGTGACATCGAGCGATGAGTCGCAATCTGAGCCCCGCAGCTCCCCCGAGCCCGCGACATCCAGCACAGCCGCGACTGCGACTGCACCCGCTTCCACACCAAAGAAGAAGAAGACCTCTAAGTCAAAACCTGCCGCTGAGCCAGTCCCTATAGTCGCCTCATTCGCCGAACTTCAACTCGAGCCCCGTCTGCTAAGAGCGATCCGCGACCTGAAATGGGCATCACCAACGGCAGTACAGTCCCAAGGCATACCATTGATACTGGAGGGACGCGACGTCCTTGCGCGTTCGGGGACAGGTACCGGAAAGACGGGAGCCTATCTTCTCCCCATCCTCCATAAGACGCTGCAACAGAAAGGCCAATCGCTCATCCTGGCGCCCACTAAGGAACTCTGCTCACAGATCGCATCAGTCGCGAAATCGCTCTCACAACACTGCGGGCAATCGATCCGGGTCCGCAACATCGCTGGCAAAGAATCAGATGTCGTCATCAAGGCAGCACTCGCGGACAAACCAGAGATCGTTGTCGCAACACCAGCGAGGGCATGGGCAAACATCAACAGCTCTGCCATGGCAGTCAGCGACATCAAGACGCTTGTCGTAGACGAGGGTGACCTGATCAACGGTTACGGGTTCGCAGACGACATGGAGAACATCGCCCGGGAGATTCCTGTTGGAGTCCAGAAGATCGTCCTTTCAGCCACCCTCTCAACTGATGTTGAGTCACTCGGCAGCCTGCTCTGTACGGACCCAGTTGTGCTGAAGCTTCAGGACCTCGACAAGGACTCACAGAAGGTCAAGCAATACGTTCTGAAGGTGGCGGAGGACGATAAGTTTCTGCTGCTTTTCGCCATGATGAAACTCAATCTGGTACACGGGAAGAGGTAAGATGCGCCTGCATGAACTACATTTAAGACATACACTGACTTTATACCTCCAGTATCGTGTTTGTTGGCGACGTCGACCGATCATACCGCGTCAAACTCTTCCTCGAGCAATTCGGCATCAAGGCGATCGTACTCAACTCCGAACTGCCGCTGGCGTCCCGAACACACATTGTGGAGGAGTTCAACAAAGACCTCTATAAGATTCTCATTGCTTCGGACGAAACCGACGTCGTTGGCGTGCAAGACGAGTCGCGACCAAAGAAGAAAGCGAAGAAGGACAAGGAGACCGACTCCGGCGTCTCTCGCGGCATCGACTTCCTGAACGTCAGCTGTATAATCAACTTCGACTTCCCCGGGAACTACAAATCATACTTCCATCGAATTGGACGAACAGCACGAGCCGGCAAGTCTGGCACGGCCATTTCGTTCATCATCCCGAAGGAGAAATACCGCAAGCACAAGCCGACTACATTTGCTGGATGCGAACATGATGAGGAGGTTCTGAAGAAGGTAGAGCAGCACCAAGAAGAGGGCCAAAAGCTGGAGGATTACCAATTCGACATGAAACGATTAGAGCCATTTCGATACCGGTTCGCAGATGCCCTGAAGTCGGTGACTAGGATCGCCATTCGTGAGGCCCGTATCAAGGAAATCCACATGGAGCTGGCCAAGTCGCAGAAGTTGTCCCGATACGTAAGTCCATCTGCATCATTCACTGCTGGCTCATCCTAACATTGTAACAGTTTGAAGAGAACCCTGAAGCGCTCGCGCATCTCCGCCACGACCAGACTCTCAACCATCCCGCGAGGATACAACCCCACTTGCGACATATCCCCGATTACCTCCTACCAGGAGGGAAGAAGCCGCAGGATGTTGGCTTCGTGGGTCTGAACATACCAAGGGCGAAGAAGCAATATACCAAGGGCAAGGGCAGGAAAGTGGTACGAAGGAATGGCAAGGTCGATCCTTTGAAGACATTCAATGCGAGGGGTAAAGGAAGGAAATAGTCCAACAAATATCGGCAGAAACCTGGAAGAAAGATTTGGCATCCTAGTGGCCGTGCCAGCTCAGCCGGTATCTTCATAGTATATCACGATCCGCCACGACGACCATGTCTACAGTTTTCTCTCTGCATCATTTTGGGTTTACACTTTTCTTGCGCATCCTCACGCCCTTTCCCATGGCTGACTCCATTGCTCTACGATACAGAACCTCGCCTGGATATCTACCTGGGTAGGTATCGGGCACCGAACACGTGAGCTCCAGACAACGCCACACTATGCACTGCAGGCTCACCGGTTTTTTGCCCGCATCGCTGTCAGCTCACCCCGACAAAATCCAATCTCTTCGCACTCACAACCGACGGCCGTTCGAACAACATAACCGTAAACATGCGCGACCTCGAACACCGCATGTAACGAGCGGTAAGCGGGTTGCAGACTGTTAGCTTGGCCGACGAGAGTCACTCGCGGGCACTCAGCCGTGCTCCTGAGCAAGCCATGTAGGTACATCCGCCACCGGGCATAATATTTCACATTACTGATAGGAAGATGGTAGCGGCCTAGCCGGTATTGCTGTCGTCCTTTCGCCACAATTCCATATTATCACGCCTTCGTTCATCATGGAAGCAGATACGGTTTCCAGCGCTGCCGCAAGCGAGGTTCCAGTTTCGGTTGGTATCCTGTCGCTGAGCGACGAAGTCGTTATTGAACAAGACGGTGACTACAAGATCGAGGACGAGAAGTACTTGCCGATTGAGTGCCAAAAAGTGCTTGGGTTTGGCCATAGCGGTGTGGTGCAAAGGGTGGAGCACAAGCAAACAAAAGAACTGTTCGCAAAGAAGGTTATCAACTTTCCTCGTAAGGGCAAAGGCAGGGAACAGGCTGAGGAGCGATACCATAATGAGGCTGCTATCATCCGCAGTCTTAGAACTCATACTCACGTCATTCGATTATTCGCTTCGTTTACGACGCCGGGCTCTGGCGGACTACTTTTGCAACCTGCTGCAGACGAAGGAGATCTGCATGACTACCTAGACAGATTTGCCGACCTGGTCGAAAAACCCGCGAACTCATCCACCAATCTTGAAGCGATGACCAGAGTTCTCGAACAGGCGTTTGGATGCTTGTCAAGTGGCCTGGTATACATGCACAAGAGCGGGATACGTCACAAAGATATCAAGCCACGCAACATCTTGATCCATCAGGGTATTGTGATATATACTGATTTTGGCGCCTCAAAAGATACGAACAAAGATGGCCATTGTACCACAGAAGGGGCACCCGATTCCGTGACTCGAAAGTACTGCGCGCCAGAAGTACTTGAGTTTGAGAAGAGAAATTTTGCTGCAGACATTTTCTCTCTGGGCTGCGTGTTCATTGAGATGTTGATACGGCTAAGCCGTTTATCAGAACCTGAAGGCTCGGAAGAGGCCTGCTACTCAGGAATCATGGACTCTCTTCATGATCTACTTCTAACTGCCGATATCCCTTCCAAACTGGCATTCCTTGTGTGTCACGTCATAGATATGACCGCAAGAGATTCGTTGAGTCGTCCTACCTCTGATCAAGTTTTTGACGCTATCTGTCACAATATCGGCTTCTCTTGCTCGGATTGTCGCTCCATTGATCTACGCGCATCTTCAGTATCAAAGCCCGACAGGATAAACAACAACCAAGGGTGGACGTGGAGCCCCGAACACCAGGATTACTACTATGTCACATACGATCAGTACCGTCAGTTAGGGAACGTCTTCTGTTTTACCCGAACGCTGACTGTTATAGAACGCCCTATTTACCACTGGGGCAGAAAAGCCGAATCTTCCGCATCAGACATTCGTTCTAGAACCGATTCAGCAATTGAGCCGCAAATGCCTGAGCCAGGTATGACAAGATAGCCATCTTACTGCAACGACAGTACTGATCGAGTCTTTTTAGCTCCCCAAGACGTTCGTACGCTACAAGGGTTCATATCGGGCACGCCACAGACTGGGTGGTACGATCGCCTAGACACTTGTTAGTACATCAAGACATTCGCAGGTTTTCTCTAACACCAAGCCAGCTTATCGAATGCGGACTAGTCACGAAGCGCGAGAGTTTTTCAAGGTAGGAAAGGTTTTTGCCATGCTATACACCGAGACAGCAAGCGACGATTCTGTATCGATCTCCAACGACGAAGCATACACAGTGGTACGATTTGGGCAAAGCGCATACACAAATATCCGCCCCTTTGTCGTCGTGGATGTAAGACGGGGCTTCGTGAACGCTTGGTAAGCTTCAGCGCAGCTATCAAAAGCCGCGACAAAGTGTTAATCTGTCTCAGTGGTATCGGCACCTATTCTGGTCGTGGAACTCTCAAGGAAGGTTGCAACCCAGCCGAACACACAATGGTGTACTTATCTGGGACTGATCCTGCGTCATGCTACATTCCTGGCGAATATGAAAGTGGCATGACTAAAGAGCCAATCGAGGTTGTGCCAGCGGAACCAAGTGTGAGTATCAGGAAGGAGTCTCGCATCCGATTCGGCAAAGTGTATCCAATCGAGATGAACGTCGCAGTCAAAGACATTGGCCGAGTTCGCGAAGACCAGATCAGCGCACTGCTCAGCTACTGGCAGCAGGAAAACCATACGCCGCCCCTTGCGTATACTCCTTCATCTTCAACCGCCTTCTCTTCGAACAACTGGTCATCGGGCGGGCTTTCTTCTCAGCGTGTGTAATTGCCTCCTGGTGGTATGCGGATGAATGGCCTGACCCAATTCGATCAGCGAGAATTCTGGCTGCCCTTACGAGTTCACGAAACTAACGGCCGAAGTATTGAGTCGGACTTTCATGTGGGCGTTCCCGGGGCGAGAGAATGTGGGTCGCGTTCTGCTGCCTTTCCGACTATTGCAGATGTTGCACTCCGTATATGAGCAGATCAAATAACTTTCCCCTACATAGGCCGGCACCTTTCATTGTTCGCCGGGCCAGAATGTCGTGATGGGCTTGGCCGCCGCTGCGCAGCTACTAATGTGAGATGGAGTACAGCTATCTGAGAGCCTTTTGGCTACAACGGGCAGTGTTCGGTCGAAACGTATGCGGAGAGTTGGCGGTATGGGCGGGTCCGAGCCTGATGTATTCGAGGCGGGTGTCTATCAAGCTGCGCACGTGTGGGCAGATGGCTACCGCTGTAGCTTGACAGGGTCTTGGCATGATCAGTTCCCAGGGCAGTAGTATGGGGACAAAGGCGGGCCCGAAGGCGTGACCACATCATTCGATTATATGCCACATTCGTTGCGATATTCATGTTCAGCTCGATCCTCAGCGCCGGCGGGAGAAGATAGTGGCTCCCCGGAGTGCTGTGCCGGCCCCGGCCCTGCAGGTTTGCGCCCAAGCTCCCGATGTCGCCTCCCGCTCCTGGTTAATCCCACCACACCTTCGCAACTTTGCACACGCACGCAGTACTGACCAGCCCCTTGCACACGTTACCAAAATGATAACCACTCATCCTAACGAGCCACTGGATCGATTAGGAATCGGCCCTCGATGATGCCGATCTAGCTACACGAGGAGCCTCTATACCACGCGATATCGTCTTATGGTCGCGTTTGACGCACGCGACACGTCCACGGATTGCGCCTGCATGCCTTGGAATGTAGGAGCGTAGGCTAATGTCCAGTGAAGCAGCGTTGCGGATGAGGACACGCAAGCATTGATATTGGAACAAGCGCGAACAAAACAGACTGGAGATCTTCAGCATGCGTTTCGTCCGTCCGCACCCCTTCGCACAACGGCCGCCGTCATACACAGCCTATTGCACTGACGCCTGTATGGGGTTTTCGATCGTGCGATCCTTCTCGCGGCACGATCATAGGGCGAGTTCAAGTCGCACCACGCTGCGCACCGTATGCTATGGAAGAGAAAGTCTCAATTTGGTCATATATAACGTATGTGATAGGGAAGAAAACGTAACAACAGTACGACCGCACCGCGATCACCTTCCCTTTCGGTCCCAGCCATCGGAGCTCGCAATCGTTCAATCGGCCGTCAAGACTCATCAACATAAAAAGCAATGAAGAGTGGGACAAAATACGTATTTCGATGAGAGGAAGACAGGACTGATGAAATAAGGAATGGGGGCCGCTGGACATCCGAGTCGAGCTCGCAAGTCGTATGCGCAAAATTCCTGGCCGAGCGTGGCAATGTACATCACCATGCGACACTCTGGATGATGAGGACCCCAGCCTTAGCCTTGGTCTTGATCTTCGTCCTTCCAATATTGGAGAAGCTTGCCTACATGCCCAGGATGGACCTGGCCGATATCTTTCACTTTGACATTCTTCTCAATAGGGTATGTTTTCCCGAATCGTATACGGGAATTGCTTGTCAGATAGATGGAGGATGTGACCGGCTCGATTTGAATGGCTTCCTTCTCCATTCCGTTTTCGTACTCTCCTGGGATATAGCAGGAGTTTGGATCTGTCCCGGGGAGGTAGACGATGGCATGTTCGGATGGCCTGCAACCGTCTTTAAGGGCTCCACGCCCGGAATATGTACCAATTCCACTGGCTTATGTTAGCTGGTGCAACATATCTGGTCTTGAGACAGTCCTCACCAGGCTTTTACGAAGCCATGACGAACCGCAACTACCACGAACCGACGGATGTTTGTGTATACCACTTCATTGAACCGAACGATAGTGTATGCATCGTCGCTTGGGTACGCAGGGGCAGTTCCTCCTGCAGCCTCAGTGTACAACATTGCGAAAACCTTTCCGACTACGAAGAAAGTGTGAGCTTCAGAGCCAGTCCTCATTCGGTAGCCTGTGTGCCACAAATCAGTCGAGAAGCTGAGCGCCCTAGGACCTACTTACTCTGGTCCAGAAGATCATACCAGCCGGTCTGTGGCGTCCCCTGGATGAAGCCTCTCAGTGCACGAGCATCCTGCGGAGCTACGAAATACAGGTTAGGCGAAACGCCTGCCACAAGGTTTGGGACAATGACATACCAGGCTCGGGCATCTGGGCCACGTTTGCGCCATTGTTCTGTTGACTGCCCGAGTCCTGCCTTGGAAGGGGTTCGGCGATGTCCGCTTGGGCCTGCTGTTTAGACCAGTGATATACCGGACGTTCTGTTTAGATCAGTGGACTGCGGTGAGTTTCAGCTTGATAGAACGTGGCAATACTTACGGTACGCATCCAACGTGATGCAGTAGTAATCCTGGTATCGCTGGTCCCATACCCAGTTGCCGTTCGACATGTCGCACAATGTCACTGGACACTGATGCTGGCGTCAAAAGAGTTCTCTCTTACAATATCGACGGCGCGCCCTGTGCTTTTGGCAATACGCCGATCAGTTTTACAGGCTCGATTGATGCGGTGGCGTGAGTAACAATCCAACATCATGATCGGTAGTCTAGCGTCACTTTATAAGAGCTGGAAAGTGTTGAGCGATGCGGCTCTGCTGTTGTAGCCAAAGAATATGGAGAGGGCGTGGTGCGCAACGGGAGAGAGCGATCGCTGTCTCCACCTCCAGACTCGTCTGCATATGCGTTTCATCTCCTCACGCATTACGCATATGCGTGGAGAGTGTTCACTCGTTTCCCGGATTATACGGCTGGTTCCGACATTAGGGCGGTTACGTGTATTGAAACGAGCGAAGCGGCGACCCGGTCGGTACCAATCAAAACAGTTAGTGTCAGCCTGATACCCGACACTTCATCCGTGCGACAAGCAAGTCGGATGCGCACATGCGCATGGCTTCCGATCTGTTTGCTCAATGGTTCTTTCATCTCAGCGCATATGAGAAGTGACCGGACCGCTTCAGCTTCTTCCGTGCGCAAGCCTTGACGGCTGACATCTAACCTGGGAAACCCCTTAACTACTGCACTACGCCAGACAAAGACCACGTATGCCAACACGTACTGTCAGAGTGGATGCTCTTTGCTGATGTCCACGCTGAAAGCCCTAAGGGCTGTCCTTGTCCACCGAAAAGAAGCTACCGCTGCGTTATGCAAGGGAGCAGAAATTGCCCAAAGTCTTGTCCCCAGCAAATTCTGTGTCTGCATCCCCATGACTCAATCTCCGAGACGTCATGGAGATGCAAAGTCTAATCAGATATGGGGAACAATCAGCTACGCAGCTCGGTCTGCTAAGTGTTCTCAATCGACAACGCCTGAACACCCTATCCGATTCCCAGGCAAAGCTTTCAGCCAATAGAGAGGACTTGTTGATCGAGCGGGAAAGAGTGAGAGCAACTGGCCGCAAGGTTCAACAAAAGCGGATAGATGCTGGCAATGCAGAAGCCAAGTTTATGAGACAGCTGAGTGAGTTTGTCAACAATTACCCTGGAGAGCTTTCGAGAGCGCTCTTGGCCGCCTACAACGACGTCAGAGAAACACGAGATGATCTGGGTGAGATGGAGGACGACTACCTTCGAGCCGAAAGCGATCTCACTGGCGCGGAATGGACATTCGTCGCCCACGAGACCCAATTCTACCAGTTCGATATCAACAGCATTTTCTCAGAGCCAGACAGCGAACAGCTCGCTTCTCCACACAGCAGAAGTCTTGAAACCTCACACCATCTACCACTCTATCATATACCACCTTGCCCTACAGGATCGTTGTCTCCCAGTCAAGTCTTGAGGCTACCACCGCCACCACCTCCGCAATTTGCTCGTTCGCCACCACCTTTGGCATTCGCTACTTCTCCTGTTGCAGCCCAGCCTCCGCTCGTTCAAGTTGATCGAGAATATGCTGCTATGATGGCAGGGGTCGAGACTTTGAAGAAGGAATTTGACAAGGTGCGGCAGACACATGCCAGTACTATTACTTGGGATGAGGGAGATGATGTGTTCTTCCCGGAAGGAGATGGGCTTCCTGATAGTAATCTCACAACCTCTGCAAGCGAGTTTGGGGACATGGTATACGAACTCTCCACCCGGAGAGCCAAAGCGGAGCAATACAAAGCTGAAGAGATATTTCCGGTGCTGGCTGCGTCACGTTTGGCGAGACGAGTCTCTGATCCGGCGAATCCATACAGAAATGTACCCGAAGATTCGACTGCAATGAGACGAACTCAAACTGAAAGCGCCGCTGCATCCATGCGAAACAATGCCTCTGTAAGAGAGAAGATTCGAGCATGGTCCCTGACGCACCTCAAGGAAGATGCTGTGCAAAAGCGCCTGTATCTAAACACCCTTGCACACTACGGGATAGCAAGTCCCACTGAAGGTGATTGGGCGCTTCGAGCAACACAATTCTGGAGTCACGATAGCCTCGTCGAGAGCGAAACTGCGGAAGACTGCAAGACAGCTTCCGTTAACGAGATGGAGTGTAATCCCGGGTCACTTCCCGATCTGAATGCTACGCCGAATACAATTGTCTTTCCGTCAATGCAACATCCTCTCGACGATGTGTCACACTCTATCGCCCAACCAGCTCCCAGTCCGGAGGTTCAGCAACGGCACAGGACTCAAGAGAGTGGTGACGACGACTCATCGACATCGTTCTCGCAGCTGTCACAATCATCAGATTTTGATGACGACAGTCCGAAGACGCCCTCAGATAGACTTGGCGTGGTTGAGGAACCTTCCAAAGCCGAGGACCGTGATCCAGGAGATGTTATCCCAGTCGAAGTCGCATGTTCCTGTCCGGTGGAATATGGCGATGCCGCCCAACGAAAGGACAGTGTTCAGAGTACGAACATTGAGCATCACATCAGCTGCGCTAGGTATAACCAGGAGGTCAAGACACGAGTCTCCTCGCAAGTGTCAAACAATATCGGAACGAAGACGGATGCTTCAGTAGTTGGCGATTGTCATGGCCCGACACAAGAGGAAGATTTCTTGGTACCTACGCCATTCAATGCAAACTCCGATCCCGCAAGTGGTGCATGCGTTCAATCAAGATCCAATACTACTGCGCAGCTTACTTCGGCAAATCCATGGGTACACACCGTAGCGCTGTCGACACCCAACGACATGGGCAATCTCCAATTTACCGATGCTTTGAACAGGCCTGATTCTCGGCCACCCCTTACACAACGGAGAAGTTCTGGCAATCGGCTTAAGGAGTGGCTTTCCTCGGTCAAGAAACTGCGCAGTAAAAGCACTCCCACGATCGCGATGCATCACTCCGGAGCTCGTACAAGAAAGCAGTCAGTGGCATGACAGCGTCCCGTTCCTCTCGTGCCGAGAGTCATCCGTATCACTTTTCGGTGATTATTTCCGTCCTTCTTGCAAATACCCGTTACCGGATGCTTTTCCAATACTGTATAGTTCACGGGCGTATGATTACAGGAGTACATCTCTTCATTTCCGGACATCACTTCAGGCAAAGTTTGCCGGCTTTTCTTACTGGGCGGTAGCTGGTCATTTTGTCTCCTCTTCCCGTTATCTTAATGCATATATCGGTTCTCAGACATGCCATGCCGCTCGATCCGAGACCTCTTGAAACCGCAGCTTGAATGCGATGATCAGCAGCTGAAGAAGGCAAGCGGGCAACTGCGCCAATGGTAGCAAGATTCATGCGAGCTTACACTCAGCCTACACCGTGTGACCACTCAGTCGGGCTCAGCTCCACATGTCCCACGTTGACGGCGATCAGCAGGACGCCCGCTTACATGTGAGCGAAGCCTGGCTGGTCAGAATCAGCGCGTCGCAGCCCGAGGGAACGGCCAATGTCTTTCTTTCGGCCCGATAGAAAAATAATTGCCGGTCACACGAACCCGGCGGATGCACGACAGCCGTTACCGATCATTGCTAGCCGCGCAACATGCTTGTTTTGGAAGGAGATGCTAAACCTCACCAGCAGTGTTTATTGATATCGTATCTGAGATGAGCCGTCGGAGTGACACCCGGAAACTGTTGGCAGTGGGATACGATTTCCACCTTCATAGAACTTATTCGACTCCTGGTTTGCTCATTGCTCCAGCGAAGCGGTCGAGATATAGGAGAAGGTGGCACGGCGTCGTCGCTGCCACATCGATGGAGTTCCAACGGCCCGTCGACCCCACTTCGACCCACCACGGCATGCAAGACCATCTAGCTCCCGTCTTACATGTTCACCAGTGATGCAGGACGTATTTGGCGCTGCGACCAATAACAGTGCGTCCGCCTTATAGGGCTGGGAAGGGCAGTCCGATCCACTTATCGTAGGAGGTCTTTCTACTTGTGGTATGGAACCTACCACCACAATACATATGCGCACGCGTGACCAATGCCATACGGCATATGCGCATCATTCAGCTCCGCGCGCGCGGTCGTGCCGGTGATCATCGCCCTATGGCCCCGCTCGACGTGGACAGGAATGTGCCACATGCCTTGTTTTGAGCAGGGGAATGTACCTTGGCCTGATATCCTTGGGTGGGCACGTATTACGATCAGGTTCTTGCGTGGTCCGATATGGCGGACGAATGAAGCGAAGAACGTGGGCGGACTGTTCGTGCCGCGACGGCACAGCGAAGCAGCCGTCCCACCAATAATATAGGACGGAGATGTGCATTCTTTCTTTCCGTCGTTTAAAAGTTGTTTTTACGGGATGAGGCTCGCGAAATTTGACCTATCATAGCCGCGGTAAGCCATTTAAAGCGGGAGCCTAGGAAGCGGGACGTACGGCTGAATGTAACCATATACGGCTGAATACGTTGGAAAGATTACTCTCCAATACCGTTAATGTCTCTATCACATGCTGACTGATAGCTGGAGGAAAGCGATTGCACCCGCACATTGACGTGGGTAAGTGACCTGCTGCCTGAATAGGAGGATGACATGGGCGTCTTCGAGAGGCAAGCGGCTCTGCTTGCTACAATTCATTGGCGGGCAGGTCTTTGGAAGTAGAGGCGACGCACTTGTGACTCAGTACACGTACGAACAGGAAGACTATTGGGCACGTGTACTTTGATAAGGTATGCACATCTCTTTGCCGATCCACGCTACGCGCATCTATGCAGTGACTGAAGTTTCGTCCATGAAGCACTATGCCTACATGGATGTCTTTGCCGTATGATTACGCGAAAATCCTTTGGACATGGTGGAGAGTGTGAGCGATCAAGATTACATCATCTGGTACTGTTCGAGGATGATGTAAGTGCAATTGTGCTACATACCGAAACAAAAGACGTCTCGAGCGAAGTCTGAAAGCCATTATTCATTAGCGTGATATAAGCAAAGCGCGAAACGTGGATAGTCCGTGGAAAACAAGCGCAAACGTATTGTTGAGTGAAGAAAATGCCCGAGCCAGGTCAAACATCCTCATCTTGAGCAGCCTCATCGGTGACTTCGTTGGATTGCCGAGTATCGGAGATGTTCTCCATGTTCCAATAGCCAATAAATGTTGGCAACCAGTCTTGGTGCACAACACCAAGGTCTTTGACTTTGACGTTATATTGGATTGGATGGTGTATCCCAAAATAGATCCTCGACGCTGTTGCGAGAGGCCTTTCGCCATTGTTCATAACGATGCAGATAGGATATTTTGTGAGAGGGGGTTCATCTGGCAGTGACTGAGGACCGTGACCTCCATGAGAATATGCGATAGCGTGCTCGTTCGGAGAGACACCTGGCTTCTTTGTACCTTGACCCTGGTAGGTAAAGATGGGTCTTGTATCGTTAGTAGAGTACGCCAATGAGAAATATTCGACTTACACAGCGAAACAAAACGCTTTTCTGCGCCTGACCACGATGAACCTGCGCACTTGCGTGTGTACGAACTCCTGGTATTTTACCATTGAAATGGCGCTGTTGTAATCGGTCACGCTGTTGATATTTTTAAGGGCACTGACTGCATTGGCACCAGCTGCTTCGCTGAAAAGCACCGAGAAGACCTAGCGCTATCAGATTTTGTTCTTTTTACGGAGAACAACAATACATACCCTTCCTTCGATGAAAAACGCCGCATCTCTGACGTAAAACGCTTTTATGAATTAAATACGCGATGCTTTAGGATACACCATGATGACATACAAGAATCAAGGTGTTCGTAGTGACTGTCAGCCTGTGCAGTCCTACCGTCGTAGGAGCCGAGGACCTGTTTCCCTTGGCGAATAATGGGTGGGCGAATACTGGCTGGTCCCGCGGCGGCGACAGAATCGATACGCTGGTGTAAGGGACCTGTATAGGTCTGGTGGACATCGAAGTGAGGTTGGACTTGTATCTGGGGTATGAACTGGGTTTCCAACTGGGGTTGCAGTTGGGGGACAGGGGGCGCAATATTCAGAGGGACCCAGTCGAAAAATACCCAACTTTGCCCTGATGGCCTTTAGCGAACGTGTGTGCTTCTCGAAACGATTCCTTACCGTCATGATGATTCCAGTACCATTGCCGGTATTGGTCGTTGAATTGTAGATAAAGATAGCGCTGGAATTGAATATTCCATTCAGGCTGGGGTTTGGTTGGATCCAACATGTCGTAAGTGATGCCACATGTCACCCAAAGCGCGGCAACTCAAGACCACACAAGTATCATGCAAGTGCACCATGACTACTTATGTGCGTCGAATGACTGGACGCGCAGAGCCGCATGTGCCTAGGTAGAGAAACTGCGAGACGAGGAGTCATCTGAGAAGACAGCCATGATGCCGACGCGACCCTCCTACAGCTTGCGATAAAGTGGTAATGTGATAATCCATGTATGCGTTGGCGTGCATGCCAGCCCTGGGAGAGGTGGAGGGGCCTCGGTGCAGGCCGCCAAGGTGAAGCTACGGCAACTGCTACGACGCGTTCGGCCCTTGGTCCGCAGACCCCGCTTTATCTTGGGTCGATCGAAATTGGTTAGTGCGAAAGGCTCCCCCTGGACAGCCACATGCCGCCCGCCTGCGTAGAGTGTTTCGGCTGCGCATCAGCCTGGGTCTGAGTGTCCATCAAGCAAATATTAGCTAGTCGTAGCCACGCCACGGCATGCCTCTTGCATCTGCGATCTCGTACCCATTCCTTGAATTTCGAATATGCACCTCGATGTTCAATGTCTGAACAAGAGGCACATAGCTCTTCTCGTCCGGAATCGATTCAGGATGGTGATGGGCACTTTCCCGGTACGTCCTTCGCTATCTACCATAGCTTCTCTTTGCTGACGCTCAAATAGCAGACACTGTCCCTTACCTTCGTTCATCAACCTCCGCGGCCGGTGCCGAGCCTGTTCCCACGGGGAACCGTACATTACATTCTAAACACTCATATGTGGAAGATGGTGATCGAAAATACCAAATTGATGATTTGACATTGCAGGCTGTTCAGGAGCATGGCGAAGATAGCGCCGGGCAACAGAACTCGAAATACGGGCCTCGTCGTGTACAACCGTCCTTTGTTCCTCCACCTCCACCACCTCCTCCGCCGCCGCCACCGCCACCAGCTTCATCTATCAGCCTTCACGTCCCTCCACCTCATCCCACAGTCGCTGGGAATGTTTCGGATCTAGCACCGGATGCAGTACGGAATGTAGATGCAGAAAGACTTGATCGTGAACAAGAAGAGTTACGAGATTGTCGCGAGGAATTGCTTGGCTCACGCTTCAAATTGGCGGCGCTGCGCAAACAACTCAGGGATCTCCATATCGAGACGAGTGCTAAGGAGGGTTCGGCACTCAATTTGCTTCGCCAGTATCTTAACGATAGCCCGACATCTCGACTACCGGAAATCGAGAAAGCCTTCGAGGAAGCGTCGGCAATGAGAGATCAGGTGGGCTTGCTCGAGTCGACATACGACACGGCTGAAGCCAATTACAATACCTTGGAATGGAACTATACCAGCAAAGAGGCAAGATTTGTCGAGGGCGCTTTAAGTAACAAATTTGTACCAATCGGTACAGTGAGTCGAAGCCGGAGTGCAGATGACCTGAACATTGCACAATTGACGCACGGCATGTCTGACAGGACCGAGAGATCGCGTGAAGCTTGGAATCACACTACGTATTGTGAAATCAGTGACCCAGGAGGCAATGTTCAGGCCCAGACGAAAACAGCTCAGCATGGAAAAGTGTTGGGACAGGATGAACATACATCTCCTGGGAATACTTTGAACGAGAGTAACCATGCTGCGGTTAGCCCGATTGAACGTGGTATTGAGACATCGCAAAAGAAACAAGAACATAGACGTTGGCTGCGTAAGATGGAAATGATCGATGCCTGGTTACTGGAAACTGTTGCCGATTCACGTCTTCACCAACTGTATTTGAGA